CCTTCGCTCGACCTCGCGCCCAAATTTATCGCAGGCAGTGCCGAGCGCAACGCAGTAATCACACGTTCGGCAGCAGTTCGGCGCCGGTCGCTCGTCCTGACCAGGCCTCTGGGATTTCCCCGCTCGTGAACTATATAGTAAAAGCGACGGACCTCCAGGCTGGAGGCCATGAAGCGAACCAGCGCGCCTGCGACGGGGATGAGGGGGATTGGGGAGAGACGAGAGAGGAGACGCGGCGCGAAGGGAGGATATGGAGTGGGTGCCGCAGAGCATCGAGGTTCGGAGGCGGTGACCGGAGAAGTGACGAGCAAACCATCTACCTTCCTGCCACACGCACGAAATTGCTGCGATGGCTGCGAATCTAGACAAGATTATTTATTAATATACAGGTATTCACGAAGGAAATAACAAAATTTTGAAAATTACATCTTAAGACAATTTTAAGAATATTTTGTTTAATAAGCTTCTTCCATATTTCGAAATACATGTTCTATGCAACAATTTTCATTTCAGAATCATATAATCAGAAACTTGTAGATTATTTATAATTTACAAAATAAATGAATATATTTGTTCAAAACGAAAAATTAACACGGAAATAAAAAAGCTGTCGAATTGGGTAAAATGTTTTTCATTAAAAAATAAACTCTTTTTTAAATAAATTACTCGCTTAAAAAATATAATTTTTAAGTTTGTTACTTGATCATCGATGTTATAGGTAAGTCGAATTAAGTTAATAATTGACATTATTTTTATTCTCAATGACTAATTTCGATGATTTATTCGGCGTAATCTTTTCTGGTGGTTTGGCATATTTAGGCTTTGTCCCTTTGTCTCTCTGACATATCTCGGTTCGTTTTTTCATTCATTATCCCTTGATCCATTTAGCAAATACTAGATGGCATTACTTCTGGACAATGAATGTAGCTTCACAATCTGTACACGTTTTATTGAGCTCTGTGGGGTGTTAGTGGAGAGTTTAGTTATTTCGTCAGCTGTATCATCAAATAAAATCTGCAGTTCGTTTTCCGATACAGTTTCTATCGCATGGAAGCGTACATTCTGTTGCAATTAAATCTTGCCAAAACCGGTACTTCCTACCTTTATTCAAATTTGGACCAAGCATTGTGAAAGAGTTGACAGAACATCCAAAGTGGAAGAAAACGTGCGTAGAATGTACACCCACATGCGTCCCAGTCTGAACGGCATGAGCTCGCGAGACCTGTGGCAACCCCTCAACGCCATTTCGTATTTGGCATTCTCTACCTGCGAGAAGCTTTCACATTATCAACCTGCGAAATGAACCAGGATATGACTGTGAAACTTTTTTTAAGTTTTATTTAAATTAATTTACAATCTTTTTTATTTTAACATCCGGTAATTTTACTTTCTCGCCTCCGCTTACGCTGTAGAGACAAAGTTATGTAATGCTGCGCGAAAACACGGCGACTATTCGCCCGAGAAAAACGTATTTCAGGGTCCTGGTAAAAAAAGTTGTACAAAACCAGTAGCTAAATTTAGAAAAAGTCCTCTATTAAGTGGTATAGCCAGAATCCATGTTTTGTGAGCCCTTGATACCGAAAAATCAAATGACGGCAAAATATCTGTCTGTCCGACCGCCCGTGCAACCGTCTGTGAACAACGCTTGCGAATAAAGCGTTCATCAATTTTCTCCAAAATCGATATTCCGTAATCGATCTGACTGATTTCGCAGCCCCTTGAATTTGAAACCGATATTTTAATTTTTCGGGTAGTTTACATGTAGTTCCTAGGATATTTTCCCATTTTTTTAAACGTCTCTATCGTTTTTGATCAAATTTTGCTGTTGGAAGGACGTTTAAGAGAATGGTATAGGTCTCATTTTCGTTGAAAAATCAGATTTTTTGAAAATTACAAAAATTTAAATTTTTTCGGCGTTTTCCTACAAATACAATTATGAAGATCTTAATGAAATCTGTTCCTTAAAGATAGATTCTGAAATAATATAATGTATAATTGCTTCAAAATATGAGTACTTTCGTGTAATTTTGCATGAAAGTACGTTTTAGCACCACTATTTTTTGGTGATAAACAAGGACATTAAACATTTTACAGAGTATCTCTTAAAAAATTAGTTCCATCGCAAACATAATTCTAGGATATGATGTATTTTGAGTCGTTCAAGTTTTTCACTTGTCCAGAAGATTGATGGGCAGGATATTTGGGTACTTGTTTAAGCGCGCTTAGTATTTAATGTTGCGCTGTATTATTTCTCCGTATATGATGGGATTTTTTAGATCCTGTTGTAAAGTGTTGTTGGATACGCAAGTGTGTATTGCCTATTTGACGGAGACATTTTGATTCAAATCTGCGGAGAATTTCAGCATTGGATGTACTTGCAGAATCATGAATATTTGGTTTTGCGAAGAGATGTGAACGGCAACTAATTAATCATGCAATCTAAAGAAATTTTCATTTGTCTTCTTTCTTTCTGCCAGATGCTGTTTCCACATTAGACGATGGTCGATGTGGAATCTCAATTAATTGTTACTTGTTAGATGTTATTTGTTAAAGGCTCATCATTCAGTTTCACTTTAGGAATTGAATCAGCTTGAGGAGAAAGGGAACAAGTAAAAATACATTTTTTTTATTTTGGAAAGTTGTTCTTTAAGGCAAGGCAAATTGTACTGTTAAGAAATGAATCATGTTATAACAGTTATTATGCTATAAATTGCAAGGTGGGGCTAGCTGTACTACGGAGGAAGGGATCAATCCACTGACATGTTCATCACACCTCAGTACTGTAATTTTGGTTTTGAATGTTTGCAATGCGTATCCTCTATGCATGCATGCAGTGGTGTATCTACAGTATGGCAGACAAGGCACGTACCATTGGCGGCAGGAGCGCTACATAGAGCATAACCGTTCAAACAAATAACTACCCTAATTTGATAGAGATGCAAATTATATGCTTACCATAGGCGCCTGAATATCTCGATGGACCTCTGCAAGCATACATATATGCATGCATGCTTGCATGGTTCCGCATGCCTGGTGTGCATGCCTGCATGCGTGGTATCGCATGCATCTATGCAAGCTTGTAGGGTATCTCTAAGAAAAACGTTTATAGGTTTGCAAAGTTTCTCCTACCCGGCAAAACGGCTGACTGACGTGGCCCACGAGATAAAGTGGCATTAATTAACTAACCCAGCTAAAATTTTTGAGCACTTATTACAATTAATAATGAACATACAAGTCGTTTTTCCGTTAAGAAATATAATTACAGCAACCGATAAATGGAATATATTGATTGTCTCTTAAACATTAAAATTATATATAATATATCGATAAATAAATATTCAAATAGTGGTATTAAATATGACTTGATAATGATAAAAAATATGATTTGATAGACATGAAGTGGATGTTTGCACCAAATGTGAAGGGCTTAGAGCAAAAATTGAGACATTTTTGTATGCCAGCACTAAACGTGCAGCAGAGACTGAACTTCATATCCACAAAAAAAAGAGTTGATACCTTTTATAAACCAATACAAGAAGAAAAATTGCAAAAATTACTTGTTTCCTTTCTCCTCATCACGATTCAATTGTTTCTTCCAAACGTGAAAGTAATGTATTTGGATTTTGAGGCACTTGCTTGTATGTGCCACCGTCTTGACCACTCGTGCTGTAGGCCCAGATTTGTTTGTAGAATAGTTGACGCCTGGTTTGCATCTTCGTGTGAAGCCAATATTGCGGTATCGTTGGCAAAAATTATCACAGTAGTGAAAACCTAGTTTGGTAGATCACTGGTATTTTTAAGTATAGAATACGGGCAAGAACTCTTCTTGATGGAAATCAGATTTAATAGGATAAAATGACATATATTCTGGGTATTTGTCTTGAAGGTAGCTGTCAGAGGGGTAAGATTTAAATATAAGATAATATTTATGTTATCATACGGATTTCATTTTCTATATAAATCCATTACGCCATACCAAATCAAATGCTTGCTGTGTGTGTAGAGAAACACCTGAAAAGTAGCCTTTTCATTGAAAGTATTGAGTAATGATGTCGACGACTTAATAAGCTTGTTCAACAGTTGAATGGTTTTCACTGAATCCGAATTGGTGGTCTGGAATAACTTCATTTAGAAGAGGCTTTAGACGTTGCGGGAAATTGTCAAAATCTACCTACCGCCCAACAAGTCTTCTCCCTTAGCAAATTTTCCGATTCCTCAAGTATTAATACAGCAACAATCTGAGCTACCTCCCATTGGCTAGGGAAAAGAATGCTTCGAAGCATAGCGGCGAGGAAAGAGGCAATAAAGTCAAATTAATTTCGCGATAGTTCTTGAAGTACTTTACTTATGATGAGGTTGCCAGAATTTATATAGGTGTTGGAGATGATAACTGGAAGAAGACATTATCATATTGGGTTATTTCTCCTACATATGAATTATTGAGAGGGCATTGTTTCAAATGCAGTAGCGAAGTGTTTAGCAAAACGTTCTCGTTTCTTCTTTGTTTAGGTTTCTTGCCCAGGAACTGCATAGGAGGAAATTGAAAGTTTGAACATTTGTTCTATTTACTAGCTTTCCATATTGAATTAGTTGTTGGTGGTAAGGTTTGAGAATACTGTTGAAATGAATAGTTTTTTTAGCTGATTAGGGATTATTACAGAAGACGATGTGCTCTATGAAAATTAGGTTTATATTGGTGATATCTAGTACGCATCTCGATTTGCTTTAGTCGACGCTTCTCTTTTACTGCTTCCAGTATACTTGAAGGATATGCGTACTGTCTGGAAAAGGACAGGGAAGGTGTTGCCTCTCATGCTTTACTTGTAACGCAGCTTGCTATAAGTTCGATTCGTTCAGTAAAAATTGACAGTTTCTAATAATGTTTACCCCATTCGGAAAGCGAACCAGAGGTTGCGTCTAGCTAACTAGACATGTGCCACCGGTGTATATCTCTCTCTCTCTCTCTCTCTCTCTCTCTCTTCTATATTATAATAGCTATATATATATATATATATAATATAGTATTATATATATATAATATTTATCTTCTTCTCTCTCAAAGGAAAATGGACTTTCTGATGACCCCTCCAATTCAATGCGGTAGAAAAAATACATCGCATAGACAATTAATTCTCTTGAATTTTAAAATGTCGCTTCTTAACATCTCAAATAACACGACTTAGCAAAAAATAGGAGACCTTCAGACGATCTAGACGAGCGACTACACTCATCCAAAGTTCTATTACTGGCCATCCCTAATCATCAACAATTTATTCGTAGACAATAAACTATATTTTAAAGGTGGATATCTGTATTTTATATTTAAGATTTTTTAAAAGTAATCTCATTTTTAACGAGCCATAGCTACAAAATTTCTAGTCACATTTCAATCTATCGAGTGAATATAAATGAAATGAGTGCAATTTTATACTGTTTATAGGGATAGTGCTTCTAATGAATGGTGTGTGACGGCAGAGTGCATAGGGAGAGAGAAGAGGAGGGCGAAAGAGAAAGGCGAGGAGAGTAAATCGAGAGCTGGCGCGCCGCCCCCGCCGCCGCCTCCGTGGGTCTGACCCTGTCGCGACAGCAGCGTACGCCTGGTCGTCTCGCGATCCGAACAGTTTGCCGAGGGGCCGAAGTGGAGGGGGCGTATCGAGGACAGGGTAAGCACCGAGTAGGCAGCGGACAGCGAAGAGGATGTCGGGGGGCGGAACGGAGATGGGCCGGGCGGTCGGCGGGGGCGGAGGGTAGCGGAGGCTGAGTGAGCGCCCGGCTACGAGAGCGGGTCAGGGAGGGGGAGGGGTGGTTCGGGGAGGGGCATGGCTAGCGGCGGAGACGGGGTGAGTGAAGGGGGGCGGAGGGGGACGAAGCGGATGGCTGGCGCCCCGGATGGTCTCGGCTTAATAGCGCCAAGCAATCAATTCCGGGGCAGGGACCAGGGGGACGCAGCGGGGCGAGGGGGCGGGGCGCGGGTCAAAAGCATCAATCATCGCCGCACAAGCCGGTAAACCGAGCCCCAGGCGCAGTTCGATAGCTCATATCAAATCTGCACTTTACCATGGGGTGACCTAATATCCCACATTATGTTCGCGAGTCCGAAACTCGATCGGTGTATACAAAAATGCTACATAACTGGATCGTTAATTGTGTTAGCTTCATTTCCATTCCTGAAAGGTGAGCTGAACAGCAAATGCACGATGAATAGTGGAATGAGGAAAATGAAATGTTCGTATAAACGAAAACATATTCTTTTACAAATAGGCTATTATGACAGCACAGTAGTATAAAGTGTGCTCATGATCACGTTCGTTCCTAGAAGAAAAATTGCACTTTCTGTATTTTTGTTTTGTTTTATTTTGCAGTGCTTCGTTTGTAGTAGCAATGCATCACTTTTTTGTTCATGAGAATAGTAAATAAAATCTTCTTATATTTCTATAATATTATCATGAATAAATAAATAATACCGTTATATCTCAATCCTTTTTAAACCATTTTAATCTATTTTTGTAAAATATATTTCCGTGATATCTGACCGAATGTTTCAGACAGTTCTTCATAGTTTTTCTCATTCATATTTTTAGAAGAAAATTGTTTAATTACATTCATAAATCTAAACTTACGAAATGAAGGTTTCCATGAACGTGCACAGAATAAAATATACGGTCGAATAAAAACATCTCTTAATTCTGGAACGTGTGTCTTTGTAGAATTAAAGTACTGTGGGCGAAAATATGTAGATCTTCAAAAAAATTTTCCCCGGTCATTACACTGGACGCCGAGTAGACTTTTCCAGCTGCTGGAAAACCACTTCGACCAATTCGGAGTTTGCATGCGGTCGTGGCAAAAACAGACACCGTGATTAACAATTCCTTTGCCCTTTTTTCACTCTTAATCTTGCCGCGTGCTTGGCTGCTTTACGCCGGTAGCGCCGTTGTCCCTCCCACCCTCAACCTCTCCCCGCCCCGCCGCCGCGTGTATTTGTGCTCGCTACACAGCGCCTTTTGCATCCCCAAACCGCGCGTATATTCTGGTTCCCTTGTAAAAACAGTACGCTATTATGGTAACCTGAGGCTCTATTATTTTGACCACGAGTAAACGCTTCCCACTGGGCACGCGCCTTTCCGACAGTTGCCGTGCTGGATGCACTCGTCCGTTTCACTCGATCTCGTGTGATGCCAGGATGCAATTCGACACCCGCCTCTCGTCTTTGAAAGGCGTCGATCTGGAGGCCGCAATGCCAATGAGCGCGCTGAGTTCGATGCTTCCTTTCACGCGGCGGCCACGAACGAGAAGTTAAGACGAACATTCTTCTTCCGTAAGTGTGAAACACCTCGTTAAGTATTTGAATTCTCGATTTACTATTAGTTTCAAATCCAAATAAATCACCGATACCAATTTTACTATTATGAAGTTCAGTTCTCAAAACAATTGTATATAAAACGCTTAATTGCGTGTATTTTTACTCCAATTGAAAAATACGTAAAAAAATGCATACATCCATTATATAAAAATGTTCTAATAATTAAAAATAATATTGAATAAGAGTGTTTGGCCTAAGGATAGCGGTTTTGAGTCCTGCCTTGGGCATGGTCCTTATCTCTGATGTATGTGTTGTCGAGAAGGACGATGTGTTCTGCAGACTTCAGATGAGAGGAACCCGTAAGTATGTAGTGTCTAGTGTATGGTCCAATATGCGTGTCATCTCACCGTAATGGTTAACCGACCGTCGGCTGTATAAAAGTCCTATAAGAAAGAAAGAAAATAAGAACATAAACATACATTCTTCCTAATTCTAAGGTCGTCATCATATTTTGTGCAAAAGTAGTATAATTCATCAATTTTATCATAATCCCAGCTTCGTCTACGTTCTCCCATCCACTCTTACATAAAATAACAGAGTGGGCGCTCAACTCTAGTGGGGGGTAATACCCGAGAGCACTCCGCGCGATAACCATTGCAGTTATTGAAAGTGATCAGCTTCAGATAACGTGTCGCAAGGCTAAATGTGAAATATATACAGTTTTTAAAACATAGTTATTATCAGAAAAATTGTATTTTCTTCTTTGCGGCATAGTTAATTCAAAATTTAGCAGATCCATTTTTAAGGTTTATAATTCCACAATCTCCATTAACTCTAAATTATATGTAACAGTAATTTATCCATCAGTGTAGTGCATCAACTGACACAAGATATAAACTACAATGAAGCTTTGGATACAAATGGGCGGGCAACACTGAACAAAACAAACGCCGGAGGGTAGCATGGAAACGGGCTTCAAACAACGTTCACTGCACAGCGAGCAACCGCAATCGTCACCTTCAGGAAACTCTACCGAGGAAAAGTCGTAATTCGAGTTTTTTACTCCCACGGAAATACAAGGAAAAATCCAAAAATATAAGCAATACCAATGTATAGACAGTCGCATCTACAAACCTCCAATAAATCTGAGAAATTCAAAACCGATTCGGTGCACTGAGCGATGGCGTAATCTCACCAGCAGGCAACAAATTTGAATACTTCAGTGAACACTCCGACCTCGCGGTTAAAATTCCATAAACGTACTCATAAATATAATAATGCAAACAAATCTCCGGGAATGTAAATATTAACGACATGAGAGACAAACAAAAAAGTATTTTTATAGTTTTTCAGAAAACAAAGAAATCGATTAAAAATTCTTTCGGCCAAGAGAAAGTAGGAAAAAACGTTTGTCTACAATGAATTCCGAACCGAATCTTTGGGGATTGTCACCTCTTCCAAAAGATCTTGAAAAACAACAATTATTTCAAACGAAATATTATTTTTATCTGTAATTTGTAATTGCCAATGCGCGCAGAAATAGCCAAGACACTATCTAAGCCAGCAGCATCCGAGAGTTAATCTGTGATTTCATGTAGATACCATGAACTTGAATACAGGAAAATACAAAGAATATTTGCATTATTACATTCGAATATAACGAACAAATTGAAGATAACTTAATCCTGACAATCCGGTCCATGGGGTAGAAATAATCCATGGTTCGGTTAGATACCTTTTACCACCGTAGACACAAAATCAGAAAAATAATTGCAGCCAAAACATAACTTTCAAAAATCATTGCGTGTTTCATCTAATTAATTTAAGGCAATATAGATTCAACCGTTTCCGATCAAACTATCAGAAGTTGACCTTCTTCTTGGTCCTTTTTAAGGAAGTGAGCCATACAGTTTTAAAGTTTAAAATCATTAAAACACATTTCTATAATTATAAAAAATATCTAACAACAAGGAGGAATCCACGGCTCAATATGTGATGAATTGTAAATTTAATCAGCAGACTATTCATTTTAACAATCTTAAACCTTATCATAATATGGTATCTTAACATCCCAAACATGTTTTTTTGTTTTTGCTTTGCTACAATAAAAAAAAACTATTCTTGAAGATAAAAGAGTAATGTTTCAAGAAAAAAAGTCGCTTATGTTAACAATTTGGGGTATAATCAAAACTGATTATAAAAATAAACATGATGTTTTTAGGTAAATGCCTCCTGCCTTTTCATACGCTG